CATGTATACATACACTTAAAAGTTCTGTAGAATAGAAGAAACACTAAAAAAAAGAAAAATGTTACAGGGCAAAGTTTACATTATTTTGAGGCTCTTCTCTACCTCAATATAAAACTTGTTGAAAATATAGCAATAATAAAAATTCTAAAACTAATACTGTATACAATTAAAAATTTGTTAATAAGTTTTATATATTGAGGCAGAAAAAACCCTCAACTTGCTGTGTAACTTTGTTGTGTGAAAAAGGGCAAATTATGAAAATGTTCTTTCAGCATTTCTTCTATTCTCCTAAAATTTTAATTGTACTTGGTATATTATATTAGTCTTGATTTTTTTAATCAATGTATACATGTACTGTACATACATCAATTGCTACCATTCTTTTCTTTATGTTCAAGCCAAACTTTAATTGATATTATTAGAAATGTCTGTTCAAATTTTTATCATATAGTTTGATAAATTTCTAGCAATTATCTCCTTACATAATGACATTATTTCAGAAAACTTTGATGGTTAATCCTCATCTGGTTGCATTTTAAAAAAATAACCAGACTAAATTTGCAATTTCAGTTGCATGAGGTGTTTGATTCCCCATATATTTTTAACATTGAATTTAACATGTATTGTTTTTATGTGTATACTATATGTATATAGTTTATTTAAAACAATGACTGGAATAAATATTTAAATATTTTAATATACTTAGAATGTAAAGTACTGAAAAATAAAATTAAAGACAACATATTTATCAATGTTATAAAAAATTTAGTAACATTTTTGGCAAATGGTTTGGCTGTAGTAAATGGCATATGTATTGATTAAATTACTCAATACATATGCCATTTATTTACTCAATACATTTGCACATATATTTCTGGTTTTTCTACTTTTTTTTTTTTTTTGGTCACAACATGCCCATGTTTCACATTGGCTAATGGATTTCTTAGATGGTAGCTCAACAGATACTCCAGGAAAATCTGAACTTTGTCAAGGAGCTGTAGGGAAAATTTTTATTTTTGTTCATTGATGAATTTCTTCTAAAATAAGAGTGCTTTCCTCTTATTTTTTTTTTATGTGATTCCTCTATACAGAATAAATTTTATTTGTCTGATCTACTATATCTATTCAGCCATTCTTCACTTTAGTTACTGAACTACTACTTAAAAACTTTTGTTAAATGACAAGTATATGTTATACAGTAGTTACAAAAAAAATGTTACGTGGGTTGTATAAAACCGCATGCTCTTTATTCAGCAGGACTGTAATGAGATTTAGAAAAAAATTGTACAAACACCTAGCCAAGCTTGTAGGCAAGAAGGGGGGCTCATGGGGCTAAAGTTGACACCAAACTTTGGTAGAAGCCTATTCTCAGTAAAAGAACAATGGATAGAAAGCTGAGATGGTTAAGCTACTTTCTTATGATCTTGTCAGATGGCTAAATACTTGGAAGGGCAATATCTTATGATGTTTTCAGATGACATCTGAATTTCATTTCAGTACCATCCAGGTATCTTCTTACATTGAGAATTATTTCTTCTTCCAGTTAAAATTGGACAGTTTATTGAGTCCATTGCAGTGGATAATATGCACAGAAAAATTGCCATGTTGGCTTAGTGCATTGTCTGATAGAAATGACAAAACAGTTCTTTGGACCATAAGCAGAAGTTAATTGAAGACACTATAATTGCCAAATTAATAAAAACACTATAAAAGTGTTACATTTAGAAAAAGACCCATATAAAAGAAAATTTAAAGAACACATAGAAATCAAAAAATACCCTAAAGATAACTTAATTAATGTTTCAGAAGGCATGTCCATAGACCCCCAATGGTACAAACTCATAGAGAACGCCTCCATGCGTTAAAGATTGTTTAAAGCACAACCCCCCGTGTACGGAATGTGAGGAACTGTTTATATAACATTACTTGTCAGTATTCTGTTACTCGGTGAACACCGGATAACACCAGTTGTTAATTTTTGTACTATGTTCCTTTTTGTATCGGAAATAATACATTTTAACTAAAATGTAAGTGTGTATTGATATTTTTTAAATTAATATTCTATGTTATACGGTTCTTCATATAAATGATGTGTTAAACAGCCCCCCTTATACCACTTTTTTCATATCATAGGTTATAACCATACTACTATGTAATTAAAAATTTTGTAAAATACATCTATGCTGTACCATTATATGACAAGTAAGCATTTTATGTTATCATCACCTCGCGTTTTAGTTATGTTCCTACTCACCAATGTCGTAAAACTAACCTTAATTTTTTGTGTAATTTTAACAGCACTGAAGAGGGGTTGGGAATATAAGCCAACCCGAAATGCATCTGAATTAGAAATTTTTAAATAAAATGTAACGTTTTCTAACCAATTGCTGTTCGTTCGTCTACCAATTATCTTTTTGGATTACAAAGACACTACACACTGCATTTGATGATACAGCAACCACGTCCTCTACATTTCATTTAAATTCAAAATTATAATTGATTTTTAAAAACATGTTGTACTACTTACATAAGAAAATATACAATATTAATATATTATGTAGAATGTAATAAACAACTAATAAAATAAATAAAATGAAGTACAGTGACATTCTCTTAACCCATCAACATAGGGCAGGTTATAAAACATGCTGCCTTATCAGACAGTGGAAGTTTTTCTAGATTTTTTGATCTCCTGGACACAATTTTACATATCTTTGTGTATAAAACTGTACAAATCTACCTTTTATGATTGTTTAACATGCCACTTTAATTTCTTCATGCTATTTCTACCCTTGGTTGGCTTGAAACAAGAACACTCTATTCTTACTTTGTGCTTTGTATACTTTTATTGCATTTAATTACAAACATTATTAAAGTATATGAACAGTAATGTACTGTAGCTGTTTCTGTGATAATTATTGATTCCAAATGTAATAAATATTTCTGCTTCTCATATCAAACCTGTGTACTGAGGGGCAGTGGCGTGCAGTGACATTTGATGATAGGGAAGCTGTGTTTCCATAAAAATTTTAAACAAATACTGGAAATGACAAAAATAAACAGTTTATGTATTTTAATTCTAAAGTAGATAACTGACAGGAAACAAAGCTATAAGAACTTGTTTTAATTATTTTTTTATAAACTAACTCCATTCAGCAATTTTTTCTGCAAAGTTGTTAATTACTTTATCATAAAAATCATATGTCGTTGATTCCATCAAAGTATTTAACAGCTCTTTTTTTATCGAAAGCAACGCTAGTGACAACAATTTTTCCTCTGACTGAGTGTTCCTTGCAAATATATGAATTCACTTCATGGTTGAAAAAACTGCACTCAACAGATGCACTCGTAGATGGTACTGTAAAAATTAATGATATTAAATCATATAATTCTTTTAGTACATCTTTGTTCCGATCATCATTAATTATAATATTTTTTATGTCTAAGAGTGACTTGTCAATATAGTCTGGACATAGATATAAATATTGCAATTTACTATGTAATTTAGCTAAATCAAAAAATTCTCCATAAAATTTACTTAATTTAAAGAATTAAAACTCTCTTCAAAAACTTCTTTTTCATAATATTTAAAATTATTATATTTTAGCGTTGTGGGAAAAAAATTGCCGAATGGAGTTAGTTTATAAAAAAATAAAAAACATCTAAAAGTGATAAAAGTTCTAAAGATTTTATGTTTGAAAATCTGTCAATATAATTATAATTAAAAAAAAATTAGAAAGCTATATTTAATTATAATTAAATATAGCTTTGTAAAGAAATGTACTGTACATAAAAATAACGTTGAATATTCTTTACTTTTTAAATCTTAAAAAAATTTGCTTAGTCAAATAGCTAATTAAATACCTGTGGATAATTGATGGAATCATTGGAAGTGTTATATGATGGTGTGTAGCATCCACCAGCTAAATCGCCAGAGTTTGGTGCTCTGTAAAGCGCATGCACGAATGCCTGAATCTGGCTGCTTTACATGATTCAAATATTTTTGCCGTGGAAGCTGTCCCATATTTGACAATACAGCGCTTCCATTGGGAAAATGCATACACGAATTTACATTCAAATATGCAATAGCAATCTTATCGTTGTTTTTCACACATAGTATAGAAATTTGTAATAAGATTTGTAATTAAAATTAATATTTTATTATAACTGCAATAATGCAATTATAATAAAATATTAATTTTAATTCAAAGTAGGTTAAAACATGAAAATAATTGCACAATATGAATTTATATTCTAGAAAATGCAAGAGAAGAGGTGCTTCCACAGCTTCCATGATGGATAGCATGCCACTGTTGAGGGGCTATTCATAAATGATGTCTACTAAGGGAGGAAGGGGGTTAAGACAAGTCAGACAAGGAGAAGGGGAAGGGTTGAGTATCAGTGGACATCTGTTTATTTCATTAAATTTTATGCAGTTTATACATTTTATTTTATTTATTTCAGAATTTCATGTATGTTTTGTTTCTACTTATGGTATCTATCATTCATAAAGTGATATGGTTTTAAGGGGGTTATGTTTTGTTTGATGTCCAAAGAGAGAAGGGTATTATGGAAACTTGGACAAACTGGAATAAGAGGAAGAGGCAGGGGGAATAAAAATTTCAAGAAAAATGCAGATATAATTTATAGACAACCCCTAATTTCTCTGGAAAAGTCTTTAGAAAAATCATGCACAAGCTAACTGGCTCTACCTAGCAAAGCATCATGTCATCTAGGCATTTGTCATCTCTAAAATCTTTCCAAGAACTGCACATTTTGAGTGCTTTTACAAGAAAATCTTAACTCAAAACCTACCCAGTGCACCAATAATCCACAACAATGAGCTTGACATGCCAGCATACCAGATGCTGGGTTAACAGAATTTCACTATATTACTTAAATATTATTAAAATGAAATAGTTAAAAAAACAGAACAAAACAGAAAAATTGAAAAAAGCTGAATCTTCATTACACTGTATTAATAATTTATTTTGACTCACCTTTAATGAATAATCACTGTCCTTCTGCATTTCTTCAGCCATTTTACATGACATACCTGGATGCACTTTACATCCACATCTGTTATTAAAATTTTGAACATGAGAAAATATTTTATGAAATAATTTTAAGCTGAGAAATACTTACAAGGAACATATGGTAATATAACATAATGGACAGGTCCACACTGTATTTTGATTGATAGATGGAATGTTGTAAATCATTTTACAATCAGCCTCAGGACAAAATCTTATTTTATTATTATTCTGTTTGACATATTCTCTGAGTGAAAAATCCAGTAATTTTCTCATTTCTTCTTCATTGTTACCCAATATGTTCTGAATGTCATCTATAACTAATTCTTTTCCACACTTCTGAAAAATATTTTTGGAATATTTTTGTTTATATATTAATTTCAGTTATAAATTTATTTTTAATTGAATTTCATTATTATTAAATTTATAAATTTCAATGTATATTAATAGTTTTTCACAAATAATGAATGTAAGAGCTTGTCTATTAATTATGTATAGGACTATCAACATCTAAAATCCAAACAATTGTTGGAATAATTGGGTTAATATAGCCCAATATAATCCGGTAATTGTTTGCCTTTAATTATGTATAGGAGTTGCAAAAGTATATCATCACATGGTAGANTGAATGTAAGAGCTTGTCCATTAATTATGTATAGGAATATCAACATCTAAAATCCAAACAATTGTTGGAATAATTGGGTTAATATAGCCCAATATAATCCGGTAATTGTTTGCCTTTAATTATGTATAGGAGTTGCAAAAGTATATCATCACATGGTAGAGAATATGGTTGAGATATTGTCTACATGAACTTTTTTTATAAATATTAGTAACATATAAATTTGTTCTTAGCTTACTTATTAGTTATGTGGATAAATTATCAGAAAATATTTGCGGAACTTTTTAAGTGATTTTTTTCAATGTCAAGGGAGTCCTTGAACTATTGTATACATAAAGAGTAGAGAGTTTGCCAAAAGTACAGTACATTATTGTATGTAGCAGGAAGGAAGGGAATCATAGCTAAAAAATGTACATTGATGGACAGCCCCTAATAAATGATATAACTGGAAAAAAACTATAGAAATAGAAATGAATATTCTAATGACATAAAAAAAGTAATCATGTTACTTATAATAATAATAATATCAATCAAAGTTATTTATAACTTTGATTTATATTATTATTAATGGAAGATTTGAAGAGATAACTGTTCTGAATTTTCAAACTAAATTGCATAGATAGATTTGGTTTTGCATTAACTGTATTCTAGTAAACAAAATATTAAAAATAGCCATAATTATAAGCATCCATTGATAATTATTAAATTTATCAAGAGATGACACCTAATGTGTCTACCTCTATGCCAAATTACTTAACATTTAATTATTAATAGTAGTATTAATATAGTCTAATATAATCTGGCAATCATTTGGCATTAATATTTTTTGTTTATTATTATTATGCTTGAAAAGAAAATTATCTTCAAATCACAGATTGATGTGTTGGAGCCTCATTTTCATTTCCTAAAATAATCTAAACAAACTACATCTGTATATACTGCTTTTTCATATGGGTTGCCGTTTTCCTAATTCCCAAGGGACCCAAAATTCTAACAGCAAAACAAAAATTCATCACTTCTAGCCTGGTCTGAAAATGTAAATAAAAGAAACTAATGAAAGACTTTTGTTCATTGCTCCCATGCAACTACTTTCACATAGTTATGTGTTCATCAAAATTACGTTACTTGTTTTCAAGGCCAAGTTAGCCGCAAGTGCAACCAGCACCATCTTGCGGGAGCATTGATCCAACATTAAACCATTGAGTTTAAAACTTCTCACATAACTCACTATGCCGTTCTTTATAGCTTGTGCTCCTTTTTTTTATAGTCTGCGGTGCTGCTGCACAGTGATATTAAAAACATATCATAAAAATAGAAAATAAAATTTAACTGGTTCTTTCATATACATACTTGAAATTATTATACAGTGGGTGAACGGTTAAGCCAAAATCATGAAGAGCCTGTAGCATATTAAGCGGAGATGTAGTTTCTATATTTTGTATAAGAGTCGTTAATTCAAAATTAAAACTTTCAATTTCACTTGTGAATTCGTACTTTTTTAAATCTTTGCTATATTTAATGCCGAGTTCTGCAGCCGATTTTTTTAAAATCAGCAACACTCATGTATTGTAAAGACGAGCCACAGAGAAAGCAAAAATCGTCACAGATAGTTTTCATTTTTTCATAACGCCTATCTATTTGACACAATAGAGTGTCAAGAACACTGTAAATTCGTATTTTAAATAATTTTTCGGGTGTCAAGTTACTTTCTTCATTTGGTGTTTTATCTATTTCCATTAGCTTAACTCTTTATTTTCGTTTATTAATAAATCCCTTTTCTATACTTTTTGATTTGTTTTAAGAATATGATCAATAATAGTATCTGTTAATATTGTAGGCCATAAAGCTATATCATTTATTACTTCCATGTATCTATATATATCGAAGCGTTTTTTGGACTATTTCTATCTTTGTGTTTTCGCAATCACTTTTTTCAGTAGCATTTCAAAGACTGCGGGAGCCCCTTCTGGGCCCTACGCGCCCGCATAGTTCGCTTACCGCTTAATCGGTTGTTCAGGTATATACGACATATGCGTCCCACTATAAAACAAAAAATGATGTCAGAATTTCTGCACGCCTTTTACAACCTCGAGACTAAGACTTTATTCGGGAATTATCGTTTTCAATTTAGTAATTTTAAAAAATTTTTCGGGCAGATTTATTTTTGTTACAAAATGTTACCTTTACAGATTTCTAGCTCTAGAAATCTGTAGAAATCTAGAAATACAGTTTTGTATATCGTAATAATATTAGTAGTTGCCAGAGAGCTCTAGTAGATTTTTCTGTAAATTTGAAAACTATAGACAAATTTATATTTCTCAAACAATAAATTAAAAATCTCAAAAGTCGCTACTTTTGGCTGATTTGTCTGAGGTCTCCGCTACCTCACTACGTCCCTCTAAAAGTTGCCACAGTTCAAAACACTGGTGAGCAGACATCTAGGGTCAAGTAAGGCGAAATGTAATCGCCAAACCGCGCTGTAGAAAGGCGGAAAAATTTTAAATTCAAAAATATAATTTCTTGTAAATAGTAGTTTGGGCCCCCATCCAAGTGGGTCCTGTGCGGGTGCAC